AGGTTTGGTTTTTAGTTTTTAGTTTTTACGTTTTACGTTTACGTTAGTTACGTATAGTACTACACACACACACACACACACACACACACATATTCTATATATATATATACACTCACATATATATATTCATATATATATATATATATATATATATATATATATATACATATCTCACATCTTTTTATCCAGTCATCCGTCGATGGACATTTGGGTTGTTTCCATGTCTTGACTACTGTAAATAGTGCTGCTGTGAACATTGCGGGTGCATGTGTCTTTCAGAATTATATTTTTCTCTGGATATACGCCCAGGAGTGGGATTGCTGGATAATATGGTAACATTATTCATTGTTAATACAAACTATTAACATTGCTACCACTTATGGAGAATGAATTTAGTATGAGGCAAACACTTGCTAAACACTTTATGTGCAAGTATTCATCAATGCATGTGCTGTGAGGGGTGCCGGCCTGTTTCCCAGTTTTAGGTGAGGCTGCAGCTCTCCTCTTCACACTGGAAACTGGGCCATCTGACTCCTGCACTTGACTTCAATGACCCTGCTTCTTTAAGAGCTTTGCTTTGGGCCCACTCTTACTGTACTTGGAGCCTACCTGGGTGTTGGTGAAGGTGACCTCCTTCCTCTATGAGTTCAGCTTTAACCATCTTGTTCCTCAGAAGCTAGAGGATGGGCTGGAGTGAAGTCAGCCAGAGGTGGGGGTATCCAAGCTCCACTTACATCTATAGACGCTCTGCCCCTGGGATCACAGAAGGGAGACCAGGGAGGACCAGGTAGGGTGGATCCCAGGGTGAGGATTCAGCTGATAGATCAGGAGGAAAAGGGGCCAGGAGCTCTGATGCACAGTCACAAAGCCCTGGCACCTCCTGTCTGGTCCCCTGCATTTCTAGCGGACCTCAACGGTTGGAGGACCCCAGGTCTGGATTGGCTATAGCGTAGGTCATTGTGTCCAGAAAATGTTCTGGTGAATGTTGTACCCTTGTGGGGTTCATTTGGGAAGTGTCCTGCTAGGATGGGAGTGGCATAAAATACTCAAAGAGTCAAGGTGTGGGGCCTGACTGAAAAGGACGAATGGAAAAGAGGCAAACGTCTGTTGTACCAAAATGGGACTGAAGCCAGGAATCTAGGGCCTCAGCTGGCTGTGCAGGGAACATGACTTGCCTGACCCTCAGCCTCAGTTTTCTCATCTGTGAACGCAGGGGTGGGGGACTGGCTGCAGGAAACTGCCCCCGAGGCCAGCTAGGATTGATGTATCCAAATACTTGGGAAAAGGGCACGGGGAATGGACTGGCCGTACCTGCCGGAGAGATGGGTAACTCCACAGCGTCCTCACCGCTGTGATCTCACTAATCCTCGTGGTACCACCTTCCCCACCAAGGTAGGCCATCACCTTCACTCTCATTGAATAACCAAGGTCTGTCTTGTGGGAGGTCCTGCGTTGTTTGGAGGCAGAGCCAGGATCAGCAGGTGGGGGCCCAGCAGGGCAGAGACTGGATGGGCTATAGCCCCATTCAGGTTTAGGACTGACTCTGAAGTTTGGGTTGGAGGGGTCAGTTCCCAAGAAAGTGGGAGCTTGGGGCGTCAGTGGAGAACTCTGGGGAAAAGAGAAGAGGTCCTAAGGAAGACTGAGGCATCAGATTCTTGTCCATCTGTCCGGGCTCAAAAAATCCCTACAGCAACCGCATGAGATAGGGTCTCTCTGTTTTGCAAACTGGAACCCAGGCTCCGAGAGTCTGTCCCAGACCACCCAGCTAAAAAGTAGAGAATTCTGATCTGGAACCCAGGGAGTCGGATTCCAAAGCCCTGAGTCTTTTACTGCCATTCATTTGGGAAAGGCCGGGTGGTGGGGGGCAGTCGGGCGCCCCTAGGTGTTTGGCGGGGAATGATCGGACTGGCTGCTGGACCCGGGCCGCTGGTGCCTCGGACTGGCTGCGAAGGGTTAAGGAACGTTGGCCCCCTCCTCCTGCCTCCGCCCGCCTCCTCCGGCCTCCACCCCCGGCTCTTCCTGTCCCGAGGTTGCAACACCCCATTTGCCTTCCCCTCCCACCTCCTCCTCCTCTCTGCTTTAATTTTCTCCGAGTTCTCCGAACTCAGGCTTCAGTCCTGGCCTTCCGGGTTTGAGGGCCCTGGGACCGGGCTGTGATCCCCGCCCCAGTCTCAACCCTCAACTCCCCTACCCAACGCCCGGGATCCACTTGGGACCTCGGGTCCGATAGGTCCCGGCTCATCCTGGGACTGTGTCACTGCCACAGTCGTCTAGCCGCCCAGGCCTGAGCCCTGATGGGGGAGTGAGAGGCCCCAGCTGGCCGGACATGGGCCTCCCCACCGTGCCTGGCCTGCTGCTGCCCCTGGTGAGTCCGGGGACCAAGGGCTGGAGTGGGCAGGTGGGCGAGGGGCGCCTGGGGCAGAGAGGGCTGAGGGCCGAGGGCCAAGGGCCGAGGGCCTGTGTGGCCCGACCTCAAACATGGCCCATTCATCCGCTGCCCTGAGTCCGGGGCACGGGAGTCTGGAAGGCCAAGAAGGGAAGGGAGCTGGGCCTCGACAGCAGAAAAAGTTATTTGGGGCTGGGGCTGCCCAGAAATGTGGGGGCAGGTGACCCATTGGGGAAAGGAAAGGAGTGGAAGAAGAAAGGTTGGTCCTCTCTGGGTCCTGATGGTTCAGAATTCTGTCTGGCGGGTCCCCTGGCTGCCTGGGAGCGTGTTGGGCTGTGGAGAGGTGAGGCTGCCGTGGGCCTGGCCGAGCAGACCCTGCTGGAGGCCAGGAGCTGGATACTGGGGAAGTGGGGAAACTGAGTCTGGAAGAGGCAATGGGCTGGGGAGAGCGCGGTCGGGATGCTGTGTGTTGGGGGCATTCGGGAGGGGAGTGGGAAACTGGTTGGGGTCAGGCAACTCCAAGGCCTCCCCAGGCCCAGGCCTCCCACCTGGGGGGCATTCTTCCCCCTTGGTCTGTGGCCCCTGTCTGTTAGACTAACCCCCCTCCGCGGTCTCAGAACCCCTGTGCCTGCCCCCCAACACCCTCCCACAGATCCAAACAACAGATTGCTTCTTTCTTTCTCCTACAGCTCAGTTTGGGGAAGTTGGTAGACAGTTGTTTTCGTCACTGAAAAATGTCCCTTTCTCTTGCCTCAGCCTTGTTTCAGTGTATCCCTGATTCCTCCGTGTCCTGGAGTCTTCCTGGGCAGAGACCCCCGGCCCCCTCCCCCACCTAGTCAGGGTAGGGGGGACTGCGCTGGCCACTTTCTTCAGGGGTCTGGCCCTTCCCAGGCCCAAACACCCCCCCACTTGCCTCCCCCCACCTCCTCTCCCCAGGGTCTTCTACCATCTCCCCTAATCACTCCTTCCTTTTCTGCCAAGTCTCCCAGAAGCCTCCTTCAACTTCTCAGAATCTCCTTTGTGAACCTTTTCTCTCCAGTTCCTCGCTCTCCCTCTTTGCCCGGGTCCACATTTCTCGACCCTGACTGCCCATGCAGCAGCTCTCTTCCTCAAGGCCCCTCTTCTGCTCTCCCTTGGCCCATCCTTCCCTTGTCTCTAGGCTGCCCTCTGCCAGTCCCCCGCCCCGCTCCAGGTGCCCTGCCTTCCTACCTCTCTTTCCTCCGGGGAGTAGTTCGCCTGCCGGATTCCTGGCTCCCTCAGGTACCAGCTGCCTAGACTTCAGCAGCTTATGTAACCCCTCCACGCCTTGTTTCTTTATCTTTAAGATGGACACAATATCACGACCCCATAATGTAGTTCTGGAGATGAAATAGATTGATACATATTAAGTACTCAGCTTCTGTGTGCCTGCTCTGTGCTAGACACTCTTTCAGGTGCTGGGATTATAGCAGTGAACAAAATCTCTGCCTTCATGGAATCTACATTCTAGAAGAGGAACAGGGTATATAGCAAACAGAAAGCACTCAAAAAACGTCAGTTTTTATACTGTTAGTAATAGTGGTGGTGGTGGTGGTGATTATTCAGTGGCTACTGTGTTTGGAAAACAGAGGGAACAGGGAGCCTGAAGAGAGAAAGGAATAAGCCTGGGGCTGCGGACTGGTGTGATGCTAAGGGACCAAGATCAGCCCGGAGCTGGAGGGGAAACAGGAGGTCTGAAGTGCTGGGTAAGGCTGTCTGTGAGATCTCCAGCTGCCCGCCACTCAACAGGCAATGCAGGGGACGCTGTGTGTGTGTGTGTGTGCACACACTTGTGTCAGTGTGTGGGGTGGAGGTGTGGGGAGAGGGGAGAATACAGGAGAGACTAGGACAGGGCACACAAGATCTTGCTGCTCTCAAAGAGCTTCTTGGAGCCTAGACAGCTTACAGCAAAAAATGATTTTCAAGTATCTGGGGGGAAATGTCCACAAAAGCGTTGTGGGGTGATGCCTGGAACACTGATGGGAGGCAGGACCAAGAGGGGCGTGAGCGCCGTCCTGTTGCCATTTCTGCTTGGCAGATCTCAACCCCAGTGCTCGGCTCTTGGAGCTCTCCTTACAGAGATGCAGAGCCCACAGTCGCCTGCCTCTGACTCAACCAAGAGCACAAGCAAAGCACAAGCCAAGCACAAGCAGTGTGTTCATTTTGTGCATTTATCTCAGCATCCCTGGCAGCCCTATGGGACCTGTGCCTTGCTGGTGCTCCTTAACTGTTTGTTGATTGAATAAAGGATGGAATGAGGGAGGGAACACCTTCAGAGAGAAGCGGTTTTGGAGCCGAGATTAGAAGTCCTGGACTAGCAGGAAACTAGAGAGAAGGGGAACTGGTTTAAGGGAGAGCAGAGGACTGGAGAGATGGGATTTTGTGTTGGGAGCTGGTGGTGGCAGGAAGCTGAGCACCTTGGCTGGAGGGGAAGGACCCTGCTGAGGAACAAGAGAAATGAGAAGGAGAAAATTGGAGGAAGTGGGGGGATGGGAGGAGAGAAGCTTCTTTACTGTGGTCCCCGGTAGAGGAATCCATTCATTCATTCATTCATTCATAAACGGTTCTCTCAGGGCAGCTGCAGCTGGGAATGTGTTCAGAACAGCAGTGAGGTAGTTCTGCAAGTCCTCATTCAGGGAAGGAGGGACCCACAGAAATGATGTTTGAGGAAAACTCCCACAACTGTGGTTGCAAGTTGAAGCCTGCATGCAGATAAGAAACTGTGTGGGATGGACTGGGGCTGGAAAGAGGCTGGAAGACAGTTGCAGTGATCTGGGCTGAGGCAACCCACGGGCTTGGAGAGCCCTGAGAGATGGCCGCAGAAGGCCTGGGAAGATGAACCACAGACCCGGCTGCAGCAGGGGAGGGATGGGGCCTTGAGGAGAGAAGGGTGGCAAAGGTCTCCGCATTGATGCTGTGAAGTAGGTGGTGTGAGATTTGTCCAGGCCAGGAGGTTGATGGATTTCGTTTGGAGTGTGTTAAGGGTCCAGGGACTAGCCAAGTAAAGAGCGTATCTAACAGGCTAGAGCGAGGTTCTCAGACTCTTATCCACCTCTGTGTCCTCTGTACGTGCTGCCTTCACTCAGCCGGCATTCTCAGGAGAGGAGTCTCGTCAGCATCTCCAGTGAGGGTGTGTGCATGCATGCCTGTGTGTGGGAAGGAGAGCGATGCGGCTCTCTCCTGGAGATAAACATATGCCTACGGAGCAGGGGAGCACTGACTCCCCTCTTCCCACTTTGATCGTCACTGGCTTTAACTGGAGTGGAAGACAGAGAGTCATGAAATCAACCAGCCAATCAATCCATGTTTATTTTGCTCCCCGAGCTCTGGGTGCCAAGCATGAGATTATCTCTGACCAACACACTCTTTCTGATCTCTTGTAACATGGTTTATGGTCTGTCTGGGAACATCATACCTACTTACCCAAGGTAGTTATATCATGGTGAAAGCCCAAAATAGATACGGTTAATTCATGTTTTTAAAGTTCACGGGGTGGGGTGGGGTGGGGTGGGGTGAGCCTCAATGGAAGGCTGCAGGGGAGGGAGATGCGTCTCAGCTGGGCCTTGGAGAAATGCAGGTCATGAGCTCCTCAAAGCTTTTGACCACACGCGTTTTAACATAATGAACAAATTAATGTGGGATGGGACAGTGAAGCGGTCCCCAGGCAGCTGGTTCGGAGTCAGACCACAGGGTCGCTTGCTCAGCTCCCCCGCCCCACTCTGCAGCCCCAGCACCGGAAGTCACACTTAAAAGCCTCCCAGGCGGAAGTTGTGGGGGAGTTGGAGGGGCGCTGGGCCACCCCCTCAACTGTCTCTCCACAGGTACCTCCAGCTTCCTGCCCTTCCCCAGCTCCAGGCGATGGCACTCAGGCTGGCTGGGGGCTGGGGGCTGGGGTCTGGGCCCTCAGAACTCACCTCCTACTTATGCTGTTTTGCTGCAACACGTAGCTGCTAAGCATATGCTCCCTGGAGCCAGCTGGCACTGAGGAAGTGTGCCCACTGGGGGGGTCTGGCTCTTGGGATCAGAATGGGCCGGCTAGGGCACTGCTGGGGGCTGAGAGAGACCCGGGAAATAGGGCTGGTTATCTTCCGACCCTTCTTGCTTACGCCCTCCCTCCTAGAACTGGGTGTTCAGGACTCTAGAGTTTTTCCTGTGCTGCCAGTGGGCTTGTGGGAAGGGCTGTGGAGAGTCAGAACTGGCCTTATTTCCTAGGGATTGTCTGGGGACCCCAAGACGGCCCCCCAAGTCCAACCTAACTGGCCAGAACCAGCCAGGCTATGGGAAGGCAGTGAACCCTGGCGGGAGGGCAGCCTTGGTCTGCTCCTTGCTGGAACTGGGGAGTGTCAGGGGGCTCACAGGGAACCCAGGGAAAGGGTTTATCTGTAGGGGGACTGGTTGAGCCAGGAGGAGGAGCCCAGAGGGGTCGAGTCTAAAGGAAGCATACTGAGGTGGGAAGGAGCTGAGTGGCCCTCAGGGAGGGGTGAGGAGTGGCCTGATGGGAGGAAGCCAGGGGTCGACAGAGACTTCCTTTTGAGATGGGATGGGATAGGGAGCCATTTCCCGAAAAAGTGGGCCAAGAGGGACTGAGGTCCCTCCCTGACTCTTTGGAGGAGGAGGCGGGGAGGAAAGGGGGCGCTGCGTGGGGACTGGAGGGAGAGGCTTGCCCCCAGGAGGAAAGGATTAGACGGGATCCCGCTGCGGGCTGGTCCCTTCAGGCTTTCTGCTGACTCATGACCCTTGAGGAGCTGGGGAAGCTGCTGGTTCCCTCTCCCTCCCTAGGTCTCCTCCCGCCCTCTGGCCTGAGTCACTGGGCGGAGCTTCTGGGAAAAGATTTCCCTTTCCCGGATCTGACTTAACCCCCCAAGTGCTGGAGAGTGGTGGTGGGGGGCATGTGGCCTGAGAAAGCCCCCCTCCCTTCCTCCTGGGAAACTTTTTCTTTACAGGCCAGTCGTCCCTGGAAGTCTTCCCGCAGGCTGTCCCGGAACCAGAGCCCCCCAGTTCTTTTTCCTGACTCTGTCTCTGCCCCTTGGCTTTGCTCCCAGGCGCCTGGATGGAATTCCAAGTGCCAGTGACCTTAGGTGCTGCGAGCTCTCTTCTTCGGGGAAAGGAACCACACTTTCAAGATTGGGAAGTTCTTCCCATAAACACCCCAAGCTCTTCCTGTTGCCCTGGAAGGGGAGCTGGCACAGTGCTGGAGTGGCCAACCCTGCAGGAGGGTTTCTGGGCCTTGTGGCTGAGGCTGGGGCTTCTGGGCAGCTGCAGCGACACTCAGCGGGTAACTAGGGTGGGACCTGCCTACCAGCCTACCTGCTTCAGGCTGCCAAGCCCTCCGATCCTTGTCCCTGTCCCTGTCCCAGTCCTGATCCCGGTCCTGGTCCTGGTCCCGGTCCTGGGCTGGGGAGTCTGTAATCTGATTAGTCTGTTGTTCCTAAGGTTTAACATCCTTGGAGGACATCCTCTTATGGTTAGGTAAAGCGAATTTTACAGCAGAGAAAAAAAAGTCAAGGTCAGGGAAAACCAGGGAAAGGTGGTAGGAGATGAAAAAGCAAAGTCTAGGTTGGAGTGCAGCCCTGCCTCCTGGCTGTGCGGTCCCAGCTCTGAAGCCAGGGCTGGGACAGTGATTCTGAGGCCGGCTGTGGGCTTGGTCTGAAGCTGGAAAACTGGCCTCCCAGGATGCCCCTGTGTGCAGAGGGACTCCCTGGCACACCCTCAGCTCCCAGCTTGATGGTTGTTTGAGCCGATCCCTATCTGGCCAGCATTAGTTGCGTATAACCTACATGCCTTTGCCCACTCTTCATCACCTGCCTACCTCATCCCTGACCCTGAACCTTTTTTTCCACTCCCCTCCCAATCTGGGGTACTTGTACAGATTTAGTGGTGGGAGGAGATGCAGCAAGGAGTCTGAGGGCAGGATTCTGTGTGAGGTTTTGGTACAAATTTATGAAGAAACTCTTGTTGGGGGTCGATATAGCTCAGTGGTAGAGCACATGTTTAACATAAATGAGGTCCTGGGTTCAATCCCCAGTCCTTCCATTAAAAAAAAATTTAAAAACAAACAAACAAACAAAACTCTTCCTCTTGCCTCTGCCCACTGCCCAGGAATGGTGTCCACAGGAACATCACTCACCTCCACTCCAATCTGAGTTTACAAACATGCTTTTCCCAGCATAACATAATACAGGCAAGTGCCCGGATCCTAACTGTTCACCTTGGTGAACGTTCAGAGTGAACACGCTGTGAATGCGGCGCCTAGATGGAGAAACACCACCCCAATCTGTTGGAAGGGTGGTGTTTGGAAGGGAGCTTGTTGGAAGGAAGGGCCAGAGGTAACTGAAGTAACCCGCCTGTTCCCAGCCCAAAGAAGTGCTTGAACATCTTAAGGATAATATACAGCCCGGCCTGGGTTCTACCAGCCTTGAGCTGGAGGGACAAAAATGAACACACAGGACAAGTAGAGAACTATTAAGATGGCATGGCGCCAACAGCTAAGCTTGGAGGAAAACGTGGAGTGTGAGCGGGAGTGGCCTAGGGAGAATGTTCCACTGGGAAAGGGCTTGAGCTGGAAGGGTCTTAGACTTGCTACCTCGAAGCCCCCCACCCCTGATGGGGCCTCCTCCATCCGACTCCTGATGGGGCCTCCTCCATCCGACTCTTCCCCAGGTGCTCTGGGCTCTGCTGGTGGATGTGTACCCCGCAGGGGTTCATGGACTGGTCCCTCACCCCACGGACCGGGAGAAGAGAGAGAGTTTGTGTCCCCAGGGAAAATACAGCCACCCTCAAAATAGTTCCATTTGCTGCACAAAGTGCCACAAAGGTAGGAGGGAGGGGTAACCCTGGGACTCTTGCGTTACAGGGCCTTGCTGCTTCTAGGTGTTCTGGAACCTGGGGTCCCTGACTTTGCTCCCTCTCCTGGGCTGGGAGTTTCTCCCTCCTTTCCTCCCCTAGAGACTTCAAGAAGTGCCCTGGCGGTCCTCCCTGGCCTGGGGCCCTTTCCCCGAGCTCTTGGCTGCAGCCTGACCCTGACACCCCAATCACAGGCACCTACCTGTACAACGACTGTCCGGACGTGGGGCGGGACACGGACTGCAGGGAGTGTCCCAACGGCACCTACACTGCTTTAGAGAACCATCTCAGACAATGTCTGAGCTGCTCCAAGTGCCGGAAGGGTGAGTCCCGGGAGGGGGCAGCGCTCTAAACAGACCATGTCAGGTGGGTGTTCAGAGGGGTGTGCACGTCTGTCTCTGGCGAGGGTGTATGAATCTGTGCGCTGGGGGTGGGCAAGGACGTGTGTGCACCTGTGAGTGAGTGCACGGGTGTGTGAGCATGTGTTACACAGAGAGACATATACCCGGTGGATGGTGAGGACTCATAGCCCTCTCCTCCCCTCACCAGAGATGGCCCAGGTGGAGATTATTCCTTGTGCAGTGGACCGGGACACTGTGTGCGGCTGCAGGAAGAACCAGTACCGGCAATATTGGAGTGAGACGCATTTCCGGTGCCTGGACTGCAGCCACTGCCCCAACGGCACGGTGCATCTCTTCTGTGAGTATGGCTCTCCCAACCCCTCTCCTCGCCCCGTCTCTGGAGGAAGGTCTCCTCTTGCTTTACCCCTGCCCCTCTGAGAGCTGTCCCTCCAGTCCTCAGGGCGTGGAGAGGGTAGGCACCCTCTTTCAGTCCTGCTGCATCTCTCCCCACAGGCCAGGAGAGACAGGACACTGTCTGCAACTGCCACTTGGGGTTCTTTCTAAGAGATAACAAGTGTGTCTCCTGTGCTAAGTGAGTACTTCTGGGGCACTGGATCGGGAGTGCAAGGTGTGGGATGGGGAGGCTGTGGGAGGACCCACCAGCCAGACAGGAGCCCAGGGTGTTCTGGCTCCTACTGGCTGTTTGGGTGGGAGACATTTCATGTCAAGATAACCAGACAGTCCTCCCTGCTGCCAACTTATTCCAAAAATCTTAAGAAGTCTTTGTGGATAGAGGCTCATACCCACCAGGGACTCACAGTTCTTTTTAGACATTCAGGTTGTTTTCCGAAGACATTCAGATTCTTGGGTGACGGGCTCTAATGTTGATTCTAGGAACATATTTTTACATCACTGAAATCAGCCTGCATCTTACAACAATTGATGGTGTATCATGGCTTAATTGACAGCTCTCTCTGTGTAGGATGTAAATAATGGTGCCCCTAATTGATGGCATCTTGGGTTTGATGCAGTATGGTCTTTTATCCCCAACTCCTTTGACCAGGCCTCCTCACTCCTGACTCCTTCTGGACAGCAAGAGGCTGTTCTTGCACACTCGCTTGCAAAGAGGAAACTGAGGGCTCTAACATTGAACTGCCTTTGGTTTAAATATCAGCCTAGCCGCTTACTGGCTGTGCCACCTTGGGCAAGTGACTTAACATCTCTGAACCTTTAAAGTAAGGATAATGACAGCTGGTTGGCAAAGTTGTAAGAACCACAAAAAATATAGCTAGAGAGTGTCTGACAAGAAACTATTTTCTTGTTTCCATCAAGTTTCCTCTCTTCTCCTTGAAAGAGCTTTACATCCATTCCCTGTGGTTCCCGCCATGCACTTGTTATGTGGGTAAGATGACCTCTCCCTGCTTTCAGATTCCTGCTGAGAACCCACCTTCTCAAGTTCCTTCTTGGACCTCTGATGTAGTTCTCATCAGTCCATGCTGCCCAGTGCCAGCTCCCAACACGGGAAAATGTACTCATTCTAGAGTGTTCTCTGGCCACCCCCAGCAATATATATTTTTAAATTGTTCACCTGTGTGCTAAACCCCTCTCTCAAAGTGAAGTGTTGTCACTAGCAGTGTCGTCTAGAGAAAAAGCTCTTTGAACTCTCTTGGCCACAGATTCTCACCAGGAAAACAGTGATGAAATAACGATTCAATGACAGTCTCGATTTATCAAGTGCTTACTATATGTCACGCGTAATTTCTCACTTTCTCCTCAACCTGACAGGGGGTAGGGTGCCTAGTTTCCTGATGAGGAAACTGAGGCTTACAGGTGAAGTGACTTGTCTGGAGTCACACTGCTAGCCAATGAATGGGCTGGAATTTATACCTGACTCTGACTGCTTTGAACTTTTTCTACACAGTCTCTTCAAGATCAACTCCAGCTCTAAAATTAAGTGATTCTGGGATTAAGTAATGTTTCTTTCCTCTGCGTCAATTGCCAAGATGGGTGTAATTTCCAAGATATCAAGAGATAGCTAAAATATCTGTAAAGCGAAGAATTTCCAACTATCTACGCGTTTTTTCTTTTTTCCCCTGAATTCCTCCTACGGTGGGCCCCTACTCTCTTTTAGGTGTAAGAGCCTAGAGTGTGAGAAGTTATGTCCAATCGTATCTGAAACTCGGAAATCTCAGGACCCAGGTGAGGAGGAATATCCTAGTGCGCATGCGCACTGGCCCTCTCCCAGTCTTGCCCCTGCCCCCGTCCATCCAGCCCTGTTGCCTCCCGCTGCCCTTGCCCTCTGACCTCAGTCAGCTTGTCTCCAGGCACCATCGTGCTGTTGTCCCTGGTGATCGTCTTCGGTCTTTGCCTGGCATCCTTCCTCTTCATTGGCTTAGTGTGCCGCTACCGACGGTGGAAGCCCAAGCTCTACTCCATTAGTGAGTGGGGCCTTCCGGACAGGAAAGGGTGCTGATGGGGATGTGGGAGGCGGCTGGGTGGGTGGGATGCACAGGCGTGGAGGGAAATGAGGTTCCTTTAGTTCGCTGCCAAGGACCCCGCTGGCGCAAGGTGGCCCTGGATGGCTGGTGAGATGTAGTCCTGCATCAGCAGTTCTCGCGTCCCAGGGGCCACATCGGCCCTGAAGCGTGTCACCACAAGTGCCCACCGCCAGCCCCAGTACGGGCGCCACGGCTGAGAGGAAGTGAAATTTCTGACGCTCTGTTTATTTTTTTCTCAGTTTGTGGGAAATCGACACCTGTAGAGGAGGTAAGATGAAACCGAGGGAGCTAACCTCGGTCTTCCCTGACTGTCCACCGTCATATTTTAACACCCAAATCACCCGGATCACCTTTCGCCCCGGGGGGCTCCCCTAACTCCCTCAAGCCCCAACTCCCATCCGGAATCCAGAATAACGAGGGCTAGGGCAGTTTTTCCTCTTCCCCACTCACTAAAACTCTGCTCTCTCTCCTTCAGGGGGAGCCGGAGCCCCTGGCCCTGAGCCCAAGCTTCAGTCCCCCCACGGGCTCCAGTCCCGTCCCAGACTTCAGTTCCGCCTCTAGTCCCACCTTCACCCACTGTGACTGGTCCAACTTCAGAGTTGCATCACCCTTCAGAGAGGTGGCCCCGCCCCATCTGGGGGCTGGCGCCATTCTCTCCCTCCCTGCGCCTCCAGCCTCCACTCCCGTCCCCACTCCTGTTCAGCAGTGGGAGGCCGGCGCCCACAGCGCCCACAGCGCCCCGGCTCAGCTCGCAGACTGTGAGT